TTCTAATTTCACTATGCTATATCCAATTTATATACTTCAAATTTATCTCATCACAAATAAGATGCTCTCTTATCTTAGGAATACTCCGCTGACTATTGTTTAAGCATTTGACACGAGAACAACAATACAAGCCATCTCTTTTGTTAGGGGCATTACTCTGAGCAAATTCAAGAAATCTTTCAACCCCATTCTCATATTCTTTGCTAATTCTCTTAGTTTTCATCCAACTATGATCCATTGTTTTATAGAGTTAATGAGCATAGTTATCAAGCTCAATTCTAGTAATTTAATTCAAATATTCAAATAAATCAAATAATTAAGTGTTAATCAATAAATAAATTAAAATTGATTAATACTTAATTACAAATTAAAGGGAATGCGTTTTTATTTTATAAAAATTTTGATAGAGTTTTCCCTTAAACATAAGGAATCCCAAATACTTTAAACAATAGACAAATCAACCAATCAATCAACTAACAATATAAGAAACAAATACAAGACAAATTTGAATAAATATAACCAAGAAAAACAAAAGTAACAATCTCAAACCAATTTAACAAATAAAGATTCTTAAAGCTAAAACTTCTGAATCCAAAACCAAAACACAAATGATATCTATTTGCCATAAAATCTTAAACAACACTTTACCATCAATCAAAGTTTATAACAAAAAAAAAGCCAAACATTTAATAGATTATTTATTAGTAAATATCAAGGTTTATCACAAAAAATTGACAAAAATTCAAAATAAAATATCAAAAAATTGTTTAAAAAATTACAAACTTGAAAATTAATCAACTTTGAAGATTTAAACATGCTACTAATGCTATGTATAGGAAGTAATTGTAATTTTTTAATTTCAAATATCACTTACCAACACTCGAAGCATATAAGATACTCAAAATAAATAATGTAAAGCATCCAAAATGTAAAATCAATCAACCTATTTGATATATAACAAATTTATATCATCAAACATTCAAAACAATCAGAAAAAAGGAAGAGAATGAATGAAGAGGAAACTCATAGTGCGGGAGACGAGTTAAATGCGAGAAAAGTAGAGTTTGAATGGCAAAACACGACAGTAAGGCAAAACACAATCAATAGACAGCCAAAAACGACCGTATACAGTGAGGTTTTGCCAAAAAATACAATTTGGGTGGGAGGGTAGAGGAAGAGACCATGGCATGATAGTAAAAACTGTGAAATTTATTGCACAATAGAGTTTATTCAATCTTACAATGAGCAATTTGCATAGCAGTTATCATAATAATTGCCATGAAAAGAGTTTTTAGTGGCTGTTATATTAATAACTGCCTTTAAAAGTACTTTTCACGGTGGTTATTATGATAACTGTCATTAAAATTCAAAACTTACCACGCGTTTATTACAAAAATGCCCCCGCTTCTTTTCATGATGCTGTTTTGTTTTTTACTGCCATAAAATGGCGTCGTTAAAAATATTTTTTGTAGTAGTGGAGAGATGTCAGAGGTATGCATAACGATGATCTTTGTAGTTGGTGTAATAATTCTAGCGAGAGCTTATTGCGTATCTTGTGTCATGTTGAAACCTAAACTTTCTGGTATGATTTGGTAGACCTATGTGGCATTTAAAAACTCTACAAGTTTCTTTTTGGGTAAAAAAATTTTAGATGAGTTGGGTTCCAATGGCTCATTAAGGCCAGGGTATGCTTTTAAATTAAGAAAGCACTTACAAAGGTACTTACAGATGGTCTACTAACAAGGTCCTCACATTCATAGTAGGATTCAAACTTATGACTTTGTAAGTTATAATCTGGCTTCTTATCAACTAGACTAACTCTTATTGACCAATTCTTGGAGTTGAACTTAAGAGATTGGCTTAGTTCTCATGTTGTAGTATATCTCAAATATTGTTGCCACAAAGGCCCAAAGTTAAGCCCACTAAACTGGGTCTATATGTTTTTTCTTCTTTTGAGATAAAAGAAGAGGGTGATCATTCGTACATACTGACATACTAAGGGTTTGTTTGTATTATTAGTAGCAGAAAAAGTAACTTATTTTCAATTTGATTTTTAGAAAAGTGAGATCAGGTAAAAGTTAGATTGGATAATGTAATTTATATTTAGATTAACTTTTATAAAAATTAGTTTGTAAAGTAAAAAAGTTGTTTGGATTATGATTGAATAAGTAAATTTAGTTTATAGAATAACCAAGATGGTATGACTTTTATTAAATGATGAAAAATGATTGAAAAATATAAATTTATAAAATATAATAATTTTAAATTATTATGATAGGAGGAAGTTATATTTAATGAATAAAATATATTTAAATTAGAAATCAAGTAATATGAAAATCTTTGAACCATATAATATTACATAATTAATTGGCATAATTTATGTAAATATAAAATGAAAAATAATATTAAAAATTAAAAATATAAAAATTGTTAAAATTATTTTTACTTAAGAGAATATTAAAAATAAATAACTAAAAACTAATTGGAAAGTGCAAGCAATATATAGAGACAAGTATAAGAACAACATAAATATAAGGGCAAAAACGTCTTTTAATTCTAAAAGTTGTTTTTGCATAAGTCATAGGTAAGTTTTAAGTACTTTTGTAATTATACTTAAAAAAACAGTTTTTGATCCATAAGTCATCTTAGCCAAAAGTTGTGATAAATAACTCTCAAATTTACAAACTGACTTATCATATATATAAGCTGTTTTTTGTCCCCTCAAACACCTTAGTAAACAGGCACTAAACTGTTTATATTTAAGTAAAACAGTCCAACATTTGCACAAGGTTCGTTGGGCTTATACCAAACAATAGGGTTAACTGGGCTTAACATAGCATGGGAAAAAGGTTGTCTCATGATAATTTAAAAACAATAAAACCGTGCAACTAGCCCAATATGATTCCCCACCTTCTAGAGGGGACAACTTTTTTTTTTTTTTTTGCCAACGATTAATACTATCCACGCATGTACCGAAAAAATGTTAATACCATCCACGTAGACCGATCCAACAGTTATTCTAAGCAAATTAAACAGCTCTAAGACTTGGCTTTATAATATATATATATATATATATATGTATGAATTATGTAGTTTTATAATAAAAATAATATATAGACGTCATGATAAGAAATTTATAAATCACACTGATTTGAGAAATGACAACGATAGTACGCGGTAAGGTTAAGGTCAAATTATTAAAATATTTTCTATTTGAGTTTTTTTGGCCAAACGAATTATTTTCTCTTTGCTAAAAAAACTATTTTCTTATTGAATTGAGTGAAATGCCTCTTTGAGCTTGGCGTAAAAACAAAAACAAAGAAAGCAGTACTTCTTTTGAGCATTAATTGTAATAAAAGGTTATAGAAAGAAGAGAAGAATAGAAATTATAAAGATGTGGATTTTACTTATATTATCAGATAAAATAATATACTTGATAAATAATAAAATAGTACTTGCTCTGTAATATTAAAACTTTTATTTTAAATTTTTTAAATTAGTTTTTCCAAATTTAAATGTATCAATATAAATATTTTAAATTTAATTGAATTCTTTTGGCCGAAATTAAAATCTTGAATGAAACAATGAATATCTACTGTATAGAAGAAAAAGATTTGTGAATAGATATAAAACATGTGGGGAACCCCACTATTCATGTGACATAACTACGTATTTATTCTTAAACAATACATGTACTTATGAATTTGTGGTTAAAATGTCATTGATGTTGATATTAATAATAGGGGTCACACACACACACACAAAAAAAAAAAGGAACTTGCACATAACTTGTTTTTTTTGGGGGGGGGGGGAATCACTGACGGTCAAGACAGGACATCGAATTTGAGCTTTGAGTAAACCTCACAATTTCTAAATATTAACGGGAAAGATCACAATATCTAGTTCTTCAAATATATAGTTAATAATTCCATTTTTTATTTTTAATTTTAATTTATTGTGATTTCCTATAGAATTTTTTATATCCTACTAAATATATTCAAATTCATGAGCTTGTGTCTTGTACAGAATATATATGAAATAAATCATATTATTTATGATTTATGAGTAGTAGATTTTACGTTACATATGCATAAGTGTGTGGGTGTGTATATTGCTAACATATAAAGCTAGATCTCTTAGGTTTCAAGATTAATTCTCAAAGGAGACACATGTACTTGTTGAAAGGGGGAGCCACAAACTTCAAACCGGATTAGTTAGGCGTTGGATACCAGATACGCGCGCGGGTGTGTTAGGTTCAAGGCATATATAGGCTTGTGTGAAATGAGGATGTTTGATTCGGGCCCAAAGAAATAAAATGAGGATGTTCGACTTGACCCATAAAGAGGATAAGTGCGTTTGTAACCGCATATTGAACTTATCATGCAAATTAAACATATAAACTCTCTGTCTCTGTGTGTTTGCGTGCGCGTGCGTGCGTGCGTGTTATATGTTCAAGGCATATATAGGCTTATGTGAAATGAGGATGTTTGATTCGGGCCCAAAGAAACAAAATGAGGATGTTTGACTTGAACCACAAAGAGGATAAGTGTTGCGTTTGTAACCGCATATTGAACTTATCATACAAATTAAACATATAGACCAAAATTCATCCATTCTAGACCACCCAGATCTGATCTAAACAATCTAGATATAATTTTTTTATTTTTACTTTATAAAAATAATTATTTTAATAGGTTTAGAATCTAAAATAAAAATAATTTTTTAGCTATAACTTTTTCAAAATATAATTTTTTTATTTAAAAATAATTAATTAAAAATATTAAATCTAGGAAGGATGAGCTTTGGGTAATCAGATGAGCAATACACAGATGGCAAAAATTAATGGAAAGTGAGATGAAATCGAACGGAGTGATTGAGGGGGAAGGGAAAAGTCTTTGCGTACTTGGAACGGCAATTGATAATGACTGATATTTTCAAACATTCTGGCTGTATAAATAGAGAGGGCCTTTGAGTGGTGTTACCAATAAAACTCCATCATATACGACATAATTACCTATTGCTGCCATGGATCCATTCTTCTTCACAAGAAAGATTACCATGTCTCCTATATTGCTGCTTCTTGCTGTATTCTCCTCCCTAGGACTCCAATTTACAGGTCTCTCTCTCTCTGTATATAATTACTTTAACATGTTACCCCCCCCCCCCACACACACACATTTGAATTCCCATCTTTTCTCTTCCCTCAATCATAATGGATTAACGGGGAAATTCTTTCTAGAGGTTGATAAACTCCATCTCTAGAGTTGTTTTTCTTATTACACAGAAATATATTCAAGACACTCAGACATTAAATGTAGATACTTTTTTCAATGAAAATTTAAACTTCAATTGAATTCACCGTGTATCTCTAACATTTTTAGTGGGTTGATAATAAAGAAATTGTTTGGGCCGGGGAAGAACACTTAGGTGTAAAAAAAGAATCTATTTAATAATAGTTAGTTCTTAATTAAAACACTTAGTTGCCAAAAGATCAGGTTAATAGTTAGTTCTTAATTAAAACACTTAGTTGCCAAAAGATCAAGTTATTGATTCAAGTAGTTGCAACAAACACTTTCACATTTACAACAATCAGGATCAATATTTGCAACTCATTTTTTTAAATGAATTTCTTTTAATTAGTATAACTATCATTAAATTGATCCTTTAAGAATTTTTTTTAACCCTAAAAGATCTTAAAGACCTTAAAAGTATCGTCCTCCCATTGAAGAAATTCTGTATTGATTGAACTATACATATAACTTATCTACCTATTTTATCTCTAGTATATATATTTTTCCATGGATTAATGGAGAAAATTAATTTCTCCCTTATTTTTTTCTCTCTCAGATCTCTTCACAAAGATTTCAAATAAAATCCTTAGATTATTCCAACCGATTACATAGCTAAAATGATTTAGGTGAGTCTCATAATAAAATAATTGATTTTTTAAAACGTAACTCTTGAATGGGGCAGAATTTACTGTGTTCATTATGACTGATTCAATGCATAGTTGTTATATTTCGAGCTACTGGTGCATGTCATTGACTTGTCTTCTCCAATAGTTTATTCGGACTTTCTACAAAGAAAAAGTATTGTAATAATTGATTATTTATTAGATGATAAGGTTCGGCCCAAAAAAAAAAAAAGATGATAAGGACAAAAAGAAAGAAAAAAAAGCCAATCTATTTAGGAATTGTAGTGGAGGTCAATGGTTGACTAGATCAAAGGTTCTATGAGAATCACCACTTTGAAATTATAATAAATTATTCAAATTTTACTTTTGTCAAGTTTTTCTCCACAATTTTCTTAAAAAAATAAATGCAAAATATGAAGATTATTTTCATAGTAATTTTTATTAAATACATAAGATTATATCTTAAGTGCTAAGTTAGATATTTTCACGTCTGTCACTTTTTAAAATCATCAAATATAACTTGTTCTTTTAAATTTTTTCTTTACATGTTAAATACGTTTGGATTTCGAATTGGAGTGACTTTCAAGATTACCTCTTGACAAAAACACCCAATAAGATATAACAGCGTAACGCTTGTTTAGTGTAAATAAATAATACTAGCTGCCTTAAACATTTAATTAAGCAGTTTATCACATATCAAGACCTTTTTTTTTTTTGTTCAAATATTCTCTTATATTAACATATTGGCTAAATTACATAAAACTTTCCTAAACTTTAATTTCAACAATGTACAAATAACTCCCTTAATATTTAAAACTTAATAATAAATCTCTGAAGGTTTGTATATAATCCATTAAACTTTGAGTTATATCCGCATAACCCTGAGAACTTTTAAGTTGTGTGCAGGTGAGTAATGAATAAAAACTAATTGTCGGGAGTTATTTGCATAAATGTGAGACTTTAAGGAGTTCACTGCAAAGTTTCAAAGGATAGAAAAGTTATTTGTACATAATATAATGTTTAGGGCGGTTATATGTAATTGAGCCTACAATATAATATGTAGCCTATGATTCTTTATTCGCTAAATACTTTTTAAAATCACAATTCATTCATGCAGGTGCACAGCAAATAGGAGTATGTTACGGTGCAAATGGGAAAAACCTACCAAGCAAACAAGATGTGGTGAACTTATACACATCCAACAGAATTGGCAAGATGCGCATATACGATCCAGATGAAGCCACCCTCCAAGCCCTAAGAGGTTCCAACATTGAAGTCATTCTTGGAGTTCCTACTGATAGCCTTCAATCTCTCACAAACCCTAATGCCGCCACAAATTGGGTTAACAAGTACGTGAAACCCTACTCAAACAGTCTCAAATTCAAGTACATCGCCGTCGGAAATGAAGTCCATCCCGGCGATGCCGGAGCATCCTCCGTCCTTCCGGCCATGCAAAACATTCAGAAAGCAATTTCTGCAGCAAACCTACAAGGCCAAATCAAGGTGTCCACAGCGATAGACACTAAATTGATTCAAAACTCTTATCCTCCCAACATGGCTGTTTTCACTGCTCCTGCAAGTGGTTACATAAAGCCAATAATTACCTTCCTATCTAACCATGGAGCTCCACTTCTTGCCAATATATATCCTTATTTTGCATATGTTAATGACCAAAAAAACATTCCTCTTGATTATGCATTGTTCACAAAACAAGGCAAGAACGATGCTGGGTATCAGAACTTGTTTGATGCATTGTTGGATTCTGTGTATGCCGCTTTGGAGAAGGCAGGAGGAACCAATGTAAAGATTGTTGTATCTGAAAGTGGGTGGCCTTCTGCTGGTGGAGTTGGAGCTACTGTTGGTAATGCAGGAACTTACTATAAGAATTTGATTAAGCACGTTAAGGGTGGGACCCCCAAGAGGCCTAATGGACCTATTGAGACATATCTGTTTGCCATGTTTGATGAAAACTTGAAAAAGGGTGAAGAAACTGAGAGGCATTTTGGTCTTTTCAATCCTAACAAATCACCAAAATACCAGCTCACTTTCAATTGAGGCTTTGTTTATGTAATGTCTCTATGTAACTTAAATAAGGCTGCTATATGAGCCTACAGGTTTATATGGGTGTACTAAATTTTATTGAATAAGTATCATGAATAAATAGATACAAGCCTTCGGATTAGTAAGAGTGATTCTTGATACTTAGGATTAGAATTATTCTTGATATTAATAATAATGTCTGAAAAATAAAAGATCAAGTAACAGATAATAATCAATCGAATGAAAATAATAATGTTAAAAATTTTTGCAGTTAATTTTTCAAAATAAATTAAAAATTGAATTTTTTTTAAAAAAATTCAATGTAATATTCTTAATTAAAAATCTTAAATAACAATTTTTTAAAAAAATCAGCTTAGTTGATTAAAAATAAAAACTAAGCTGATTTTGTGTATTGCATGAAGAAATGGGTTGTATAAAGTCACAACTTGTTGGTATATGCTGCTATAAGTTTAATATTTAATGTTAACCAATAATAATGATATTGATAAATCAAAATAGTGAAATTGATCCACTGCCGGTCAAGCTAAGGCAGCCGAATTCACTATGGACAAAGTTTAAAACTTGGTGGATGACTGAGTTGGATTTGAGCGTGTTGAAATTTTTGCAATTGACAATTCAGTTTCATTTTTTATTTTGTTGAAATTAGGAGTTCGGCTTAAAAGCTATGCCATTGTCTTCGTGAATTAAAAATATATAATATACTTTATAACTGTACTGTTTTAAACGTAGTAAATCAATCAACTTGCTTCAATTTATTAATATTAATCCTTTGGGTTAAGATATTGTGGGTATTTGAATTTTTTTCAGGATCAATATCGACCAGCAAGTGTTAAAAAAAAAAGAAGGAGGAAATTCACTTTAATTAGTGTTAAAAAAACTATCATTAACCATTAACATTTTTAATGACCCAGAGCAATATTGCTTCTTTTTCTCCCTAACAATCTAACATTCTTAAGATTGATAATTTTTTTTGGGTGGATGTTAACGGTTTCTATACGCAAAAACTTTTGGATATTGGACCTTATCCTTATTTTTTAAAATCCGCCATTATTATCTTTCACTAAAATTCGGATCCCATTAACCCCACCCACATTTACTCTTCCGGGGTCCCTAAGACTAATTAGTTATTAGCTAGGTGGCTCGGCTCAGCCTTATTTCGTTTGGTCCCATCTGGCTCACACAGCTAGTCCGATCGAGGTACTTAAATATATACTTTTATCTTTATCTATCATAATACATTAATTAGGAATTAATGCATGGATTGCATATGGGATACATTATTGCATAAAGAAACTATATGATACAGTGATTTAGTCATGGAATTAATTTTTCTATCGAGCTAATTTAAATTTGTCCACACGAAGCTTAGTTACCGTCTTAGTTTGCGTAAACTATGCAATTTCTGTTCAAATTAACAAGATACTTTGCAATTTCTATGTCGAGAGGAAATTAAATGCAAAATAGCTAAATTTCTAAGTTTTACTTACTCATAAATATAATACCTCAATCCAATTTGTTCCTAAGTTTATAATTTTTTTTAAAGTATCCCTAATGATTATAGTGTGCATTTTAACGGAGCTTCCATCACGAGGTAGTTCTAACAACCTGAGCAAACCCGGTCCAGTCCGGTCTAGAAAAAATTGGCTCGAAACAAGACTGGACCAGACTGGACCGGACTGGTCTCATCGGGCTGGACTGGACCAGGGACTGGCCCCTCAGACCAATTGGTCCAGTCCAGTCTAGCCCGGTCTTTTTAAATTATTATTTATATAATTTTAATTTGATTTAATTTTTCTATATAAATTTTTTATCTATTCAAATAATCAAGATTTATCTATTAACTTTCTAAGTAATAAGCATGCATATATATTTTCTACAATTTAAGATCTATATTGATGAGGATTAATTAATAAAACATGACTTCATTGGGAAATTGAAAAGGAATGATCAAATTTGATAAACTTTGGATTAAAATATGTGCAAAATTTTATATAGTAAGTTACAATCTTGCCTCCTATTGAAGAAAAAACATTTTAAAAAAAATTAAATTTAAGCCAGTCCAGGCAGTCTAGAGGACCAAGTCTAGTCCAACCCGACCTCGGGTTGGCACTGGACTAGACCAGACCTCAGGCTGTCTTTTTCAGCCCGAGGTCTTTACTGGACCAGACTTCGGGTTGATAACAAACACCTTGATAATGCAAAAATTCTAGGAAAAATTACTCCATTCAGTCTTTATTATACGCTTCAAATAACTGATTAATTTTATATAACAAAAAAATTAATTAAAAGCAATGAATAGGTAAAAATATAGTTTTTCTTTCAAATATGTGGTTATAATAAATGAAAAAAGAATGAAAAAGAATATGCAAGAAAAGACAATGAGAGAGTGTGTAGCAGAGGAAAGAGGATAATAATTAATGACAAAATTGAAAAAAAAATATATTAAATATTGAATTGAAGCTTATAATTATAAAATGGACCACACTCCTTCCCAAATTTAAAACTTGTAAATAGGACCGAAGGGAGTATAATACAAGAAATGCCACGTAGCGTCTATTCCAAGGTGGATGCATTGACACAACACACAATTGTCTATTTGTGTAAATTATAATTAAAATTAAGATGAAAATAACCATTCATTTGTAAAATTAGATTGTGGACGCATATGCACACTTTCCATAAATTTGATGAGGTAAATAATTATGTTGTTTATGATTTATAAATAATAGTATGACTACCTATAAACTTCCTCCAATTCTTAATATAAAATCTATTTAACTAATTTGCTTAAATTAAAAAGACTAGTTAAATCATCTATTGTTAAAAATATGTGTTAGTTTTCCTAGAATACGTACCTTCTTAAATTATTTGCATTAAAACTATCCCTTTTGCAAACTCCCCTAATTTATGCAATCAATAGGGATATAATTTGAAGAAAAAAAACCATAAGGGACAAAATATATTGAAGCCTTATATTTTGAACCAAATTCAAATGCTACTAGCTTTTATCTAATACCAGAGATATTATTTTATAGTTCATACACATCTGTGTGAATCTCCATGGCATAGGGTTGTGAGAAGTGAGCTGGCTGCTATTGACTAGAGGCCAAAAACAAAGGCTGCTTGACTTGAACCAGAAAGAAGATACGTGTTGCGTTGTAAACTTTAATTTCATGATATATTGTTTCTGGCAGTGTATAGATATAGAGAGACGAGGATGAGAAAATTCAAAATGATGATTGAATGAATTTCAATGGAGTGATTCACGGAGAGGGAAAGTCTTTCCATTCCTTCGTATAGAAGTTGCTTATGATTGATATTTTCAAACATTTTGGCTGTGGTTTTTGTGTATAAATAGAGGCTCTTGGATTGAAGTATGTCATCACAATCAAATAGAGTTCGATTATTTAATTTGCAACTTAGTATTGGCTTTTGTTTTGAAGACTTAGCCATGCGTACTTCCTGCTCCACAAGAAACGTTGCCATATTGCTGCTTCTTGGCGTGTTCTCGTCCATAGAACTCCAATTTACAGGTCTCTGTCTCTCTCTCTCTCTCTCACACACACACTCTTTCATGAATTAATGGATAAATTCTGTAAGTGGAGCCTTATATAACTGTTCATAAACTCTACCCCTCTTCATGGATTCAGAAATTGTTTATTGAGCAAGCATTTTATAACTATATCAATAAACTCTCTATTTCTATGGTTTTTGATGGATTAATGGAAAAATTGTTTATTTTGTTACTAGTCTACGAAATTATCTATAATCTATCCCCTCCCACCAACATGATCATTAACACCAAATTGGTTTCTTATTAGGAAAAACTTTGTGAGTTGAGTTTGCCAAGGTCATTAATTGAATTTTTAATCAATATAATAATGGGACAGCGTTAACGGTTATAATAAAACTTTCTATAAATTTTATCTTTAATGGTGATGTTGATTGACTGATTAATCCATGATATACATTGGTGTGAACGTGTGGTGCTTATTATTGACTTGTTTTCTCCGATAGTTTGGATTTATTATACAAGGAAAAAGGATTGCAATAATAATTAGTTATTTATTTTTCCAAGATAAGGACGTAAACATACAAAAGCCAACGAAGAAATTAGTGAAGGTCAATTTCAGTTATTTAACTTTTGTACTCAAGGTCAATGGTTGACTAGTTGGTTCTACGTGCATCATCACTTTGAAGTTCTAAATTCTTCTAGCTCGCTTTTTCAAGAATGTGCAATGGAGAAGACTAGTCTAGGCCTAACTTTATCAGTGTTATATATAAATTTAAATCATTATTTCTTTTATAAGTTGAGGATTTCACAGTTGTTGCTGCTGTTATTATTTTAACTATAATTGATTTTACAAAAATATAACAATTTAATAAATTTTAAAAAGATAGAATTTGATTCTCTAAATTATATATTTGGCTGTTCTAAATTTGATATATGTCGTGTAAATATTGCTAACATCACAGTTTTGTTCATGCAGGTGCACAATCAATTGGAGTATGTTATGGATCAGATGGGAACAACCTACCAAGCAAACAAGATGTAGTGAATTTATACAAATCCAATGGAATTGGCAAAATGCGTATCTACAATCCAGATGAAGCCACCCTCCAAGCCCTAAGAGGCTCAAACATTGAAGTCATTCTTGGAGTTCCTAATGATAGCCTTCAATCTCTCACAGACGCTGGTGCTGCCACGGATTGGGTCAACAAGTACGTTAAACCCTATTCATCAGACGTCAAATTCAAGTACATCGCAGTCGGAAACGAAGTCCATCCCGGCGATGCCGGAGCATCCGCCGTCCTCCCGGCGATACAAAACATTCAGAGCGCGATTTCTGCAGCAAACTTGCAAGGCCAAATCAAAGTTTCCACAGCCATAGATAGCTCCCTAATTCAAAACTCTTACCCTCCTAATAATGGAGCTTTCAATGATGCTGCAAGTGGCTACATAAAGCCAATTATCTCCTACTTATCCAACAATGGAGCTCCACTTCTTGCTAATATATATCCCTATTTCTCATACACTGGCAACCCACAAAGCATTACTCTTAATTATGCATTGTTCACTCAACAAGGAACAAATGATGCTGGGTATCAGAACTTGTTTGATGCTTTGTTGGATTCTGTATATGCTGCTTTGGAGAAAGTTGGAGCTTCAAATATGCAGATTGTTGTGTCTGAAAGTGGGTGGCCTTCTGCTGGCGGAGATGCAGCTACTGTGGATAATGCAGCAACTTACTATAAGAATTTGATTAATCATGTGAAAGGTGGGACCCCCAAGAGGCCTAATGGACCAATTGAGACGTATTTGTTTGCCATGTTTGATGAGAACTTGAAGCCAGGTGCAGAAACTGAGAGGCATTTTGGTCTTTTCAACCCTGACAAGTCACCCAAATACCAACTCACTTTCAACTAATTAAGACTTCATTTCATGTAATATCTATGCAATTTAAATAAGGGTGCCATGAGCGTATTGTATGGGTGCACCCAAATGAAGCACCTTGTTTAGTGTTTCTAATAATCATGCAAAAAGCTTAATTTATGCTATATATGGAACAAAGATTGAAATAAATCAAATTCTTATGAGTTTTACTAATATTACAATTTTACGCCTTGATATGAATCGGTGTCAGTTCTGGGTCACATTCCTAATGTGCCTAGCGAAATTATGACGAAGAGGAATAATAATATGAAATGATTGGACATTACATGAGAGTTTGTAATTAGGGGAGATTAATAACGGGCAGAAACTTGAGAGGACAAATTAAACATTCTAATTAACGGTAGAAAGCTGTAATGATCAGCTAACTTAAACCAAAATATGACGGGCGAATGTACAAAAGCTAAGTTTAGGGACCAAAAATTTAAGCACTTGTTTTGTTTTCTTGTTTTTTTAAAAAATTATTTCCAAAAACAAAGAAAAAAACTTGTTTTGTAATTTGTTTTTAGTTAGCTATTTAAAAAAATCATATTTTTTAAAAAAATAAAAAATCAAAACAATTTTTGGATGTTTTCTTATATTTTTGTTTTGTATTTCTTAGTTTTTGCTTTGAAAAAATTGGGAAAACCCTTTTTTATTTACTTACCCACCCCCGCCGCGTGTTGCCCTTGGCAATGACCGCCATCTACCACATGTCCCATTGGCAAGCAATTTAGTGATGAAAATTAGCTAAAAAAAATTTCATCTCTAATTTTCGTGGGGAAAATTATTGACGGAACGGAATGGTTATGTCTTATATTCTTCTATCTAAACATGTGATATGTGAATAATATCTAATGGCATTTAAGTGCAATTAAATTATGGCTTGTAGTGTTTCATTTAACAATTACTTATTTTACATAATTACAATATTTTGTAATTTTGTTTCCTTGGATGTGAATAACAAATTTGATGTTTTTTTTAAATGTGATTTTTTAAAATAATTATTTGAACGTTTTTTTTAATCCTCAAAATGTAATCTGAAAAAGCCAACAAGAGTTGGTTTAGTTGCTAATTAAGGAGACAGCTTCTAATCCATAAAGTCATGAGTTCGAGCCCCACTGTTGATGTGAAAACCTTATTGATGGGTAATCTTTAAATACTTCTGTAAGTACTCTTTGAGTCTGGAGAAATATCTTGGCTATGATGAGTTCCTAGAACCTAAATTACCTAAACTTTTATATATTAAAACTTGTTCTAAAAAACAATTTTAAAAGATTATTTTGAGAACAAGAAAACGCAAAAAACAAACAAGACCTTAGTTTTCATTTTCTTAGTATCAAATTAAACAAAGTTATTATTTACTTATCCATGATTATAAATATATATTTCTGACTTTGTATTAAATATAAGTATAAAATTTTATTATTACTCAAAAAATTGAAATGAATACGTTCAATATCTTACACTGGGGATATTATGGTCACTTGATCATTATTTTAACCATACACAAAACATGGTAGTAGAAAAACAAAGTTATAAGTCGCCGTTGACTTAGAACGCGTTTCCTTGACGCAGCCTCATTTGCAAGAAAAAACAAAACAAAACAAAACAAAAACAAAAAAAACAAAAATGAGTTTGCACAGTTGTCGCATTAAAGTCTTTGTTATCTACCAAACTCTTTGGCATTCAATGAAATAAGGTATTTAAATACATTGAAAGTATTGAAGAAGGAGCATCATTATCTAGAAGTTTTTTTCCCCTCTTCTTGTATGTCTTGAAAGTTTATTTTTACAGCATTTCTGCCGTGAACACTACAAAAAAGCAAGCAATTGGTGATGAAATTTAGTAATGAAATTTTATTCCGTTGCTAATCCATCACAAATTTCATTACTAAAATTAGAAAATGAATTTAGCAATGAAAAATTTCTGTCCCTAAATTAGTTGACGGAATTTTATTCCATCCCTAAATTAGCAACGGATTAGTGACAAAATTTTATTCTGTCGCTAAATTCAATTAATTTGTCACTGAATCTATTGTAAAAGGATTAGTGACGGAATTGTTCCTTCACTAATCGTATCACAAAATATTTTGTGACGGGATTAGTGACAAAATTTTTTTGTCACTAATTTCTGTCACAATTCAATTACTAACCTGTCACAAAAAATATAATATAAATATATAACAATTATTTTTAATATTTATTATTAAAATAAAAAAATAATATATCATATTTTCTAAATAATATATTATATAAAAATAAAAAATACAAATATTATAAAATAAAATAAAAATATATAATATACTTATTATTTTGTTAAATATTTGAATAAAAATATTAATTATTAGAAATATTTTACTAAAATACAAAAATTAAATTGAAATAAATAAAAATATATTAAATTATATATAATAAATATTAAATTATATATAATATTTATTATACATATTTATATTTGTTATTAAAAATTTGTGACATGGTGATGATGTGAACAAGGGCACAACGTGACCTCATGGGATGGAGAAGAGGAGGCGAGGTGGTGGTCAGTGATGACATGGTGGCTCACAAAAAGATAGATACATGGGAATGACATGGACGAGGGCAGGACGTGGCGTTGTGGGATGAAGAGGAGGAGGTGATGAGGTGGTGGTCTGGTCAGTGATGACGTGGTGGCTCACAATGATGGACACGTGACAATGTTGCCAATGAGGAAGTGACATGGCGACATAAGAGAGAGAGGAGGAGGAGGTGAGGTGGCAGCTGGTGATGAAATGACGGTCACTGACATGACACGTAGTGGACACGTGGTGGCAATCAGCTGTTGTCACTTGGTATTTTAAATTTACAAAATAAAAAAAATTAATGACAAATTAGTGACGGAAATTTCTATCACCATGTCACTATTTCGTGACAAAATTTATGTCAGATATCCGTCACTAATTAGTCACAGAATTGGTGATGGAATTTTATTCCATTACTAAATAATTAGTAATGGTGGAATTAGCAATGGAAAAAATTCCGTCACTAACTAAATTCCATTCCTAATCTATCTCTAATCTATTACTAATTTTGATTAATGATGAAAATTTTGTCACTAAATTCCGTTAATTTGATGACACTAGGCCCTTTATCTCCTCCAGCCGAAGGCCACCCACTTTCAGATACAACAACCTGCAGATTTAGTGCTCCTATCTTCTCAAGAGCATAATATATAGAATCCAACATTGCATCAAACAGGTTTTGATGTCCTATTTCATTTGTCCCTTGTTGTCTGAACAAAGCATAGTCAAGAGGACTATTTGGGTCTCTATAGGCAAAATAAGGATACACCTTAGCAAAAAGTGGCGCTCCATTATTGACAAGGAAGTTAACAGTTGGCTTAATGAATGGACTTGCTGTGCCACTAAACTTACCATTCCTGGGAGGGTAAGTGTTTTCAAGTAGATCCATTTTTATTGCTGTAGAGACCTTAACTTTGCCTTGCAAATTTGCCGCGGAAATTGCCTTCTGAATGTTTTGCATTCCACGTAGAATATATTTTGCTTCTGTGTCCTAAGGATTAATCTTATTTCCAACAGCAATGTACTTGATGTTCGCATCTGGGTAGGCTACTACAAATTTTTTAACCCAACATTGGCATATGCAGGATCAGATAGTGAGGAAAGCATTTCCTTAGCCGCATCAAGTAACACTTCTATGTTTGAACCTCTTAGGGCTTGAAGGGCTTGTTCATCTGGGTAGTATATTTGCATCCTTCCAATGCCATTGGATTTGTATAAACCTATCACTTCTTGTCTGCATAGAGACTGATTGTCTAGAATTATATAAAGCTGTGGAGAAATGCTCTTCTGACTGTATAGAATGGCAATGTGGGGATGTTTTTGTCAGACATACTTCAAATGCCCCAACGTAGGCCTCGCATTAATCTCTCTCTGATGTCAAGGAATAGAAATAATGCTGCGGACTACTCTTCTAGTCCTATTTATAGGATAAAGAGAAAAGATATTTTTTAGTCATATTTATAGGACACTGAAAGAAATTTATATAAATGTATAATTTTACCCCTTATTTATTATTATGTTAACTTTGTTTATATAAGATATAATGTATATTAAATAGAGATAAAATTAAAAAATTTGTTAAATTTTAAATGAGAGTTAATGGAGTTTAAAATTTTTTTTTTGATTTGTATAAAATATACTGAAAGTGAGTTATAAATAGGACTAGAAGAATACCTGGCAGCTTGTGCAAAGAATGAGACGGTATGCAATGAAGTCTGGTTTTCAGCAAATTTTGGGCTCTGATACTTTAAATTCAGTTGTTAAGCATTGTAATGTTAATCTGTCTTGGACTGGCTCCATGGACTGAGTTGGTGTAGGCTGATTTTTTTGGGCTTGTTATGCATGTAATTCGCTCTTGATTCATTCAATAATACGTACTTTTGTTAAAAAAAATTATAATTGATTTGTAACTCATCTTCTAATTAATATTTGCAATTATTTTCCAATACTTTAAAACTATATAATCTTTTAAAATTTACAAAAAGTTCATAATTTACAACTGATTCGTAATTTATCCTTCAAGATTTACAAGTAAGCTTTCAAGATTTGCATCTAAGCTTTTGAAATTCATAAATGTGATATGCTTTGCCAGCTGCACGAGTGCATTTTTGTTGATTTATTTTTTAAAAAAATGGTTTTTCTTCATATTTCATAAATTGGCGGTCCTTGAATGTAATTAATTTCCCAAAACGATATCTAAATTTCATCTTTCCTTTCAATATTTAATGACCAATACTCTTAGGTCCCGTTTGGTACGAAGCATTGAAAATGAGGGATAGGGATTGTGATTGCCATTGAAAAAAATCATCAAAATAGTATTTAGCATGAGTAATTGTTTGTTACATGGATTAGGCAAACCCATAGATATGGGATTAGGGAATACCACTTCTCCTATGGTATTCCCCAATCCCACATACATGAGTTTGGCTAATCTCATATAACAAGCAATTTTTTATACTCAACATTCTTTTAATAGATTTTCTCAGTCCCAATCCCAATCCTAATTCCTAATTTTTAATACTTCTTACCAAACGCAACTTTAAGTCCGTCAAATATCACTACAGCTCAAAGGAATTCATTCTTCATCTGCAAGTAGGCCACAGGAAAGGAAACGTATCA